GTGTTACAGTTACTGAAAGTCAAGAGCTCAGGAGCCGGACATCCAGCTGTTATTGTCATTAACTAAGTTTGTTTCCTGGTTTAAAATCAAGCTTTATTTAAAAATGAACCCATTGGTGCACCAAACTGAATTTATCCATGGGCCTGATTTGGCACCCGGACCGCCAGTTGAATAGCCCCGCTCTACGTAAAAACACTGTCCACTTTTTACATAACACATATTTTCATGATTACTAATTCCAACATTGTGTTTTCCACACAATAATGTGATAATAATTTTTTAAAAATAATAATAATAATTTGAAATGGCTAAAATTAAGCCATTTATAGACACTGTGCTGGAATTTGGTGTGATGGTAGTTGAGAACAATCAACACATACTGAATTAAAAAAATCCAAGATGGCCACCGTAGCTTAACGGAAAACTGATGATAACTCAGCCATTTTTAGACAAATTGAGCCAAGATGAGGTGTGGTTGTAGCTCAGAGCAATGCCCAAAAGTCACCAGAGCTTTGTTGAGAAATCAATCACCTTACATGACTGCTTAAAAATACTATTCATTAATAGTTTTGTCCACCATAAATAACTCAGTCTTTTAAAGCGATCTCAGCCAGCAATAAAAAATATCAAATCATTTGGCATGAAGTATTTCAAATTACTTTAAAAACTTTACTCATGAAAAATTTCATCATGTATTTTATTTTTTACTTTTACTGAGCCAGATAGATCCTGCTGCCGAGGACTTGGTCTTTGGTCAAGACACAGGAATGGATGATTCTTCAGCCGGCAAGTATGTTGATCAACGGTATACCAAGTGTTTACTTGTGCACATCGCAGGTGAGTTTTTGTTCTTTACATCCAAACTGGAATAATGTTTTCAAAAGAGATGACAAACTGGGGTCGACAGCAACCTTTATATCCTGATGCATGCTCAATCAAGCAACCTTTATCCTATCCTTTATCCTGCCTGGGCATTTTTACAGCATCCCTCAAATGTGAAAGCAGAGTACCAATAACAATCTAAAGTACAGGGATAGAGGCACAAAAACACGTAACTGAAAGGAATGCATTATTTTATCACGACAAATATGGGAACAAAAAATGCATTTATAATGGGTTTCAGTAGGTTGGTTTTTCCCCAAAGGAATGCTAATGGGTAAAGTGACTGGGCGTTAGAGCTGTCATTTCTAAACCGAACCCGGAGCCCGGCCCCGCCAGACCCAGATTCGGACCAGGCCGGGCCATAATAATGTGCTTAATGTGTGGGCCGGGTCGGTGTCGGGCTTTTTATTGTGTCAGGGACGCGCACGGCTGACGATACAATATATGCAAACATGGCTTGCCATACTACACCTGCTGCACGCGGCCATTTCACCACGTGCTGACCGGCCGGTTGAAAGAGGTAAAAAGTCTGTTAAACTTCAGATGAATATACTGCCAGCGACCCATCGCCCAAATGGACGTTCATTCAGCTGCTGCACTCAGCGGACGTGCGCGGCCGAGACCCAAACAGGTGAGATCAAAAAATATCTGACATGTCAGAGCAGGATCCAATGCAGGCAGAAGCAGGGGAAGCATTTAATGCGCTTTGATAGCTCCTCGGCTCCGATTTTCTGCCCACTTTACTCAGCCACATGCATCCACCAACCATTAATAATAGTCGGCGGTATAAGCAGTCAACACTTAATTAAAAATATCAAGTTTTTTTTGGGTTTGGACCTGTAATTACTGTTAATTCCTCGGATCGGGTGAGGTTCGGAGATAGTGGCTGCAGGCTGGGGCCGGGTCGGTTCGGATTATTTGGACCCAAGTGCAACTCAGCTGCGAGTTTATGGGAGTATTTGAAAAGATTTTGATCAATTAAAAAATAATTTAAAAGATAATGATGACTTGTCTGGAGTGGTTGTACTTATTGATGATACAATGTTAATAAATGGATAAAAATACTAATGAAAATAAATATTTTCCTCATAAGACTAAAGAGTTAAACACTATCTCTCCAAACTAGATATACTGTATCTTAATTTTACAGCTTCTCTCTGAACTATTGAGCTATAACATATCCACAAAAATTAATTTATCAGTCATTAAAATATTATTAATTTCCATCCCTATAGTACTGTATTAGGTTAGGTTTGACCTAAAGTTAGGTTCATGTCATGTAGTGCAACAAAAACTCTCCTAGCAATTTCCTTTTTTAAGTATTGCTTTAAATATGTACATATTGAAGGAGCTATTTTTGTATACAAAATATGTTGTGCCAATTTTTCAATAACACTGCTGTATTTTTAATTTAATACAGTTTAACTATTTAATGGAAACATTCAAATTGGACTTTATCTGTAACTTTTATCTTCTTTTGCACACATCTTCCTGTAATGCTATCATAATGTGAAAATATAAAACAAAAATGCTTGTTAGATATTAAGAAGTAAATACTATTTAAGAGATCTCAGACACGTAATGATAAAATAAGTCACTTGAGTAATTGGTAAAAATTACAGAGCGGGTTAGTTTTTACTAGTTCATCAAGTTGCAAATGCATAATTAGAAAATGCATTAAACTAACCTGATATTTTTGGAAACAAATAAATAAAAACTGAAAAAAGGAACCATTTTCAGTGGTTTGAAATGTTCTAAAATATGCTCTCTGCACACACAGTGCAAAGAGCTGCTTTTTCTATAAAGTATCATGAAATATCACGTGGACTTCACGTTCTGTAACTGATATTGAGAAATGCAACATGAGGCCTCAAGAATGGACACGCACATTGAGCAGCAGCTTCTCAGGCTCCCAGTGGAAACCCAGTTATTTCATTCTAAAAAGGGACATGAAGCATTTCAGTGAACAGGCCTTCCTTGGGGATCTGTTTCATTTTGACTGGCAATGTATTCTCCTAACTGATGACGTTAACCTCACTTGGAACTACTTTCAGAACAGTTTAATCTACTTTGTAAATAAACATGCCCCTTTTCGCCAGTTCAGAATAAAAGGACGAGACAGCCCCTGGTTTACTACTGAGCTAGCTGACCTCCTACACAGGAGAGATCAGCTTTGGGCTACAGCAAGACATTCTGGTTCAGTCACTGATCGATTGCATTGTCGACAGCTGCGTAATAAATGTACAGCTTTCATCAAAGCCGCAAAATGTAAACACTTCTTATCTCAGACCTCCAAAGATCTAAATAGTCCTAAAAGATTCTGGAAAATCATCAAATCACTTTCTGGCAGCTCTCATTCATCTGACCTGCCATCACAGCTTTTTGTTAACTCTGTTCCTGTGTCAAATAAGCAGGAGATCCTGAACTGTTTCAATAGACATTTTGTTGCTATAGTTCCTTGTTTGCCACAGTTACTAATGGAAAACCAGCTACTTCTCCTTTAAGCTAATCATCTACAAATCAAATGTCTCTTACAAGTCAATCCTCAGTAAACCACACCTTTTCATTTTCACTGTTTTCTGTTAGTGAGGTTAACAAATTGCTAAAAGGTCTAGCCTCAAAAAAATCTGCAGGCCCTGATAACCTTCCTCCTTATTTCTTAAGGCTGGCCTCACACATCATTGCAGAACCAGTGTCTCAAATCTTTAACTTGTCCATAAACCAAAACACTGTTCCAAACGCTTGGAAAACAGCTTTTGTTCTACCTTTACTGACGGGAGGTGACCCCATACTGAACAGTTATCGACCAATCTCTAAATTCTGTAGTCTTGCTAAGGTTTTAGAAAAATTGATAAACTCTCAAGTCAAGAAGTATTTGGATTCTTTTAACATCTTACCTCTTCAACAATCTGGTTTCAGGAAACAACACAGCACAACGACTGCTTCGCTGAAAGTTTTTACTGATGTTGCTGAAGCATTGGATGCTAAGGATTATTGTGCTGCACTTTATTTAGACCTGTCTAAAGCTTATGACACTGTGGACCATGACATCTTATGCCATAAGCTCTCAGAAATTGTTTTTTCAGATCACACTATTGACTGGTTCTCTAATTATTGCTCAGATAGGAGGCAGTGTGTTCAACATAATGGTACTTCTTCCAGCTATCTAACTGTTGACAACGGTGTACCACAAGGTTCAGTCTTGGGACCCACCCTCTTCACAATCTACATACGTAATGTAGGTCAGATAATTCTCGATGCACTCTTACATTTCTACGCCAATGACATAGTTGTTCATTGTCAAGCTAGAACAGTTGCTGAAGTTTTCCAGCTTTTACAGTCTGCATTTGACATCATCCAGTCAGATTTGTTCCATCGTCAACTTGTGCTAAATGCTGATAAAACCAAAGGGTTTTTGTTTTCAAACAGGAAGTCAATACCATTAGTCCTTACTTCTATTTTAACTTCGAATGGTGTCCCTATAGAATTTGTCAATTATCTTGGTCTATTTGCATCTCTCTTTTAAGCCTAATGTTGAAAACTTGGTAAAGAAACTGAAAGTTAAACTGGGTTTCTTTTTTAAAATAGATCATGTCTAACTGAATGCTAGGAAACACCTTGTAACTGCTACTTTCCTTCCCTCCATTGACCACGGTGACATTATTTACATGAATGCTCCTGCAAGCACCCTGCAGATGATGGATGCTGT